AGCGGCGTCGGCTGTAGGGATATATAAATGAATATTAACATATACGTATATATAAATAATAATATATATATGTATATATATATTAATATTAGCGGCGATGGTAAGAATATATAATCTTCGCATAATATCGTGGCACTTTCGTTGGCGTCGACGACGCGATGTCCGGCGTGATCCTCGGGCGTCAAAAGGTTAGCAGCGTAGATGAAGACGGTGCGCGAGTGCGGATCGGTTTGTTGACGTTGTCACTTTGACAATGAGAAGAAGACTACGGTATCATTAGCGGCGGGACGTCGTCGGCCGTGCGGCACTTGCTGGACTTTGCACCACGGCGTATAACGCGAGATGTTGGTCAGTCAAATACTCATAATAGGGCGACGGCTGATAAAGGTGGCATGAGTTGGGGGGCATCGTGTATAATGAAGCGACGCGGGGCTGTGTCAGTCACAATAAAAATTTGTTATATATATATATATAATTCTTGACACGCACGTGTATACGGGTACGAAAACCAAAAATAAAATTATACAGAAAAATAGTGTTGAGTGCCGACTGGTGAGCGGGGTGGGGTGAATGCGTTACGACGGTCTAGTCTCAAGGTCATAGACGACGGCATACGCGACATAATAACACGTACCACGTGGAGTTACAAACTTACAAACGACAAACAAACATACACGTGAAACTAACATAAGCGTGTTAAAAAAATAAAAAAAAATTTAATAAGTTTAATTTCTTATGTCTTATGAACTTTATTAAACTCAATTAAATTATATAATAATCTTGAAAGTCAATGTATTCCCCTAATAAAATATTTTATAATAAAATAAAATACAAAACCCAGAATTTTAATACAAAAATAGCATATTTTTGAATACGATAGCCATTTGCGCATAGAAGATAAGGTGTCGGGACAAATTTTTTTTTTCATTTTGTAGTACATAAAATTAGCTTTAATTTTATATATGTTTAAAGAACGCAGTATTTCCGGAACATTTTCAAAAATTAAGTTGAAAAAGTTATTTTTTGTAAAAAAGTTACTATTTTAAATCCTTCCAGTGAGCAGAATAGGTGTTAGATTTTCAAAAAAAATTATATCAAATGAAAGGGAAATAGCTAAGGTTTTAGTATAAAAAATAATTATGTTGATTTGTTGATTTTTGAAAAAGTTATGAAGTTTTAAGAAAAAAAAGTGAAAAAAATGACGAAATTTACCGATTTTTAAATTGGTAATTTTTTTGGATATTTCCCCCATTTAAGGGGAACGAGGGAAAATTTTAACATTTTTAAGAGTAATGTCTTCAACTAGATACAATTTGTGATCTTTTGAAGTATTGTTGAAAGAAATCGGTTCACTGAGAGCTGAGAAAAATTAGTGACAGACACAAAAAAAAAAAAAAAATAAACACATCATGGTGAAATTAATACTTTCTTAGCTTCGCGTCGAAGCTAATAAAGTAGTTGTACATTGCTTTACTTTTAACGCGTATAAAAATTTTAAGGGATCTATGCAATACTTTTAATAAAAAATTTTTGTTGTTGGCAAATAAATACACTGACTACTACGAGGAACTTTCATCGGAAGCGAAAATATCTTTTCTAAATCGACTTTTTGCCATGTTTTAAACGATGCAATTAGACTTTTCCTATCTAGATTTTAATATTATTATTTAAAACTTATTATTAGAANTTTCCTATCTAGATTTTAATATTATTATTTAAAACTTATTATTAGAAAATAGTTAAGAAAAAAAATAAACGGTAGCACAGTGGGGTCGCGGCATAGTAGAGACATTGCATAGTAGGGTCCAGTATAGATTTAATCTGACAGTGATTAAAATCACTATCATAAGAAACGCTTC